CCCTCAAAAGCAAAAACTTTGCAAATAAAGTCCAATAGAATTTTGTATTTTACTCTATAAGCCCAAAAACTTTATTTGTCATTATGTTTTTCAGTGAAAGGTCCCATTTGTTTCCCAGCTGAAAAAACAACCATCATGCTTCTCTCATCCCTTTCTTGTTCTTCCTCCCTCTTCTTTCTTTTTCTTCCTCCCACTGGCGGAGCTACGTACCTCTTAGGGTGGGTAGATGCACCCCTTGAGATTTTGCAAATTAAAGTACTTAATATTAATTTTAGATCATGCCCTTCTCGATGTTCTGATTTTACACCCTCTACTGTTTATATGTTTTCAGCTTTGTTTGAGAGGGAAGGAAAGAGAGAGAAGAGGGTGATTGACGTGAGACTGAGGAGATGAGGATATTCGGCAAACATAGCGGTGAAGAGAATTTTCTTTCAATATTTTGTTTGTGACATTTGTAAAACTTTATTTTTATATTATTTTTTGTTCAAATACTATCTTAAATTTGTGCTTCTTTAACATTTTAATAATTTAATTAATTAAAGATATTCGTTTTAAAATATGATTTACACTAAGGTGAAATTGTCATTAGAGTTTGAAAGAGTAATGAACTCCATTTAAACAATATAAATCAAATTTTTATAACATGGAATTAAAATAAATTTTAAAAAATGACTGTCAGTTACGAGATATGTAATTTATATATAATTAAAAATAAATTTTGACAAAAAATTAATTAATTATTATTTAAATAATGTCCTGCCTCCTGTCGCTAAAAGTCTTGGCTCCATCACTACTTCCTCCTCAAGCTCAACCTGGACATTGTTTATTCAATTTACTGTGGCTTGCACATGGTTAAGTTTTTTTTTTTGAGAAATATTCTGCATAGGTCGGAAGAATACATGGCATATGATAGGTTTTTATATTGGCGGGAATGAGTGGACGATCTATTTGTATCCAGATGGGAAGAGCCTCGAAGACAATACTACTGCATATCTCTATTTATCGTGCTTACTTAGTGCCTGAAATCCATTATCGTGCTTCCTACTTGAATAAACTAAAAATCCATTAATTAAAACTAACAAGTCCGAATTCAGATATTTACAAGTAAAAATTCATATATTAACAAACTAAGGTTCAACATTAACAAGTTCATGTAAAGATAAAAGAGTTTGGTATTAAATACATTTGGAATCTAATCTTTGAAACACTGATTCTGGCTTCTCAACAGAAAATAGCAACTTTCTTTTATTGAATTAACTTAAACAAGTATAAGCTACACATATGAAATTTTATAAGTTACAATTGAACAAGAACAAATTTACAAGTAATCCACGTAAAATTTCAACAAATGATCTGTAAATAACAATGAAATTCCAATCATTTTCATTATATCCATGTGGGGTCAGATGTTCACGCCATATGACTTTCTGCTTTCCTCATGACTGCAGCCTAGATTCATTGAGCCTAGCCTATTAAAGCTATCATTTGATTTTTCCTCTTGCCACGAACACATATATTACATTAAAATGCATCAAATAAATATTTTCATGACAATAAGATTTACGGGAAAAATTTATTTCCACTACAAAAAAAATGTATATAAATTATTATATCATTATTTTTAACTGTAGATTAATGATTTATTAGTGAAAAATTTTCATAAACATTTTAGTTACTTTTTAACCAAAATAATCATTTTTTAATATACAATATAAAATTTATAGCAAATATTGATCACATTTCATATAACACGAGGGGTTAAGTTGTGTTCATAAGCTTATAGTCATGGTGATAAGTCTCATTATTTTCATACATTTCATAGTACATAAGATCTAGTTTATGCATGTGATTGAGTTTTTAAGTATCTCTCATGATATTTGTCCAAGTGTGGTGTTAAAATTTATTAAGAGCATTTTAGGCATAAAAATAACTTTTTCCAAAAATTTTTCTTGAGCATTGGAATTATATTTTTTAATATGCTATGATGATTGAAATTAGTTTTCTTAAATTTAATTTAAGTTGAGAATTATTTAGGAAAGACAAAATTTAAAGTTGTCTCTGTAAAAGGTGTAATTTTGCCTTTAACTTGGAATCAATATCTCTATATTTGGATCTTGACTTTGCATTTCACTTCACATTCTTATATTTAATATTTTCATCTAAGTTGAATTAAATTGTCACATATTATGATTGAATTGATTATTTTATTATTTTGTGACATAAGTTAAATAAATGAAGAGGTGAGGACATGCGACAACTTATATCAATTGGTCAATTTGATTAGTGAATAATGCCACATTGTGTTAAAGGAAGAAGTGTAGGAGCTTGGAAAGGGGAGACATAATGGATCAAGCTAGCATTGGAATCATCATCCTTTCCCTCCAAATTTGCCAACTTGCACATTAGTTAGAAAACTCACTACTTTCTCGCATTTTCCTTCACTTTCTCACATCTATACTTGTGAAACACACTCCCAATACACTTTTCTCTCAACTTTCCAATCATTTTCTCATCCAAATCTCTATCATTTCTCAAGCAAACCCTTTCTATATCTCATTCTTCTTCTTTTTCTCAAAACCGTCCAAGCCATTATGATTTCTCATTGATCCATGGCTTCATTCATCATTGGAGAGGAGATCATGTTCGACTTGGTTGGAGATTTCATGGTGGACATGGAGATAGAGCTTGAAGGCTAAGGAGCAAGAAAATCCTTAGGAGAAAGATGGCTTGAGACATGAATCCATTCTTCAATTGGCTAAGACATTTCTTATCTAGTTTTCTTAATTCAATTCCATGTTGTAAATGCTAGTTGGCTTCCCTTCCAGTAATTCATTACTGAAGCAAGAGAATTAATCCCAGAGGAATTGGTGTCTTCTCTTTTCTTTTACCTTTAGAGAGGCCAATGAATGCGCTAACAGTTTAGCTAAGTTTTCTCATGTTTTAGATCCCCTGTTTTGGGCTTTTGATCATCCTCCACCTTGTTGTAGTAATGTGGTGGATGATAAAATGTTGGCTAGTTCTTCTTATGTAATTTGTACCCTTTTGATTGGTTATTAATATATGTTTCCATGTGTACCTAAAAAAATGCTAGTTCGCTTATCTTATTGAGTGATCAAATGCTTCTAGTTGAAGTTCATCTTGTTCTTGATTAAGAAAGCTTGTTGAGTATTCTTCTCTTGTTAAACTTGTGGTTTGATCTCTAATTCAATATGATAATTGCATGGATTGTGTAATTGTGTTGATAGCTTTGAGTATACATTGCACGGTTTGTGAGTTTTGCTCTTTGCTGGTCTTGGTAAGGTTTTCATAGTTTGTAACCTAAGCTAAGCACTCATTAAGCCCTGGCCTAATTAAAGGAAGAGACTAAGGGTCTGTTTATTTTTTGTTTTAAAAACCATTTTTTATTTTTGAAAACAGAAAAAATTAAAAATTTGTTTGGATAAGTGTTTTTTTGTTTAGTTATTTTCAAAACTATTTTCATTTTTTATTTTTAAAAACAAAAATAAAAACTACTTTTAGTTATTTTTTTATTTTTCTTATTTTTAAAATACACTATATTTGATTACTGAAAATTATAATCACCTTAATTAATTTTTATGATTAATTATTACCATTAGCTTCATATAATCATCACGATCTATCCATTGTTAAATTTTAAAATTTCTTTTTAATTGACATAACGAAACAAATTTCTATTTTATTTTGTTTAAAAAATACTTTGAAAACTATACTACAAAATAGTTTTAAAAATAAAAAAACGAGAACAAAATCTAAATAGGCCCTAATACATTGTTAATCTAGACTTAATTAGGATAACTCATATTGAGACCATTGAGTTAATTAACAAGGGTAAAACTAGTTAGGTAACTTGGGTTGGGTTGAGTTAGCTAGTATAATTCATTAACCAATGAGAGACATAAATAATGCCACATCAATTAGTATTCTTTCACCATCAAAGTCCTAGGAATCGTTGCCATTCATAAGGGAATTCACACGCATTCTTACTAGCTTTAGTTGCTTAGTGTTTTAGAATCATCTTAGCTATAATTCACTCTTCAAATCACTCTTAATTAACTTGTAGGCATCCATAAATTACCTCAAACAATTTGGCTAGGCCTTTAGAAAGTTAACCTAGGTTATATCCTACACTATATTACAGTTCACTTAGTTGAATAATTTAGTGTAAAGCAACATTGCAATCACATGGCCGAAAAAAGAAGTAACATAGGTATTAGATATAGGCTCTATTTGACATCAATGGAAAATAAATCCTTTTTCATTACTTGAAAATCAAGATATGTTCTTACCAAAAAAAAAAATTCACGATACATACTTCATCCGTTCAATATTATATTTTCAACCAAAGCATCCCCAATCAATTAGTCAGTTGTTTTTAAAATTATACATTCTTTCTATATTTATCTCTATTTATCTATTATATTATTATGATATTATAATTAGTAGTCAGTGTAAGTTTATTCAAAAATAAATAATATTTTCCCCTATAACAGAAGAAAAATAATAGTTTACGCTTAAAAATCAATTTTCCCGATGTCATTTCCTTTCTGTTTCTCTAAAGAATATTTACTTTATCATTTATTTCCCCTTGTCTTTTCTTTTGTTTTTTTTTTTTTGGTAAAAGATTTTGTCTTTCATTCCATCCAATGTCTCAAAAAAAAAGTTTCCCTAACTTGAAGAAAACCCGGCCCAAATTGACATAGCTATCGTTTTCCCGGGACCAGTTCTCTCGAGCGCCGCCGGGCCGGGGGGGGGGGGAGCGGCGCTTTGTAATAATAACACGTGCACTTTACAAATGAGGCCCCGGGGGGTTGCAGTGAGTTCAGGGAAATGCACAAAATTGGAATTACATTTCCCCAATCGACTCTCACACACTCAATACCAAAATCTATGACATTTTGTCATTAATTTCCTTCTTTCTATCCTTTATTTTTTTTTTTTTTTTGTGGCCTTGCTATGTATCTACTAACCAATGTCACAAATTAATCCAAATTCCAACATTGTTATTAATTTCTAGTTATTCTACAACTATTTCAAGAATTGTAGTAAGTCTGGGTCTTCTATATCTCCTAAGAAGCAAAGAAGAGCAAACAACACTTATTGATGAGAGAGCCATGCATGCACCAGCAACCCAAGGAGGCAGCTTGATCCCTAATGAAGGATACAGGACCCCAGCAGCAACAGGTATGGCAACCACATTGTAAGCCATTGCAAATACATAGTTCAATCGAATTCGAGAAAATGTCTTCCTTGAGAGATCAATGGCTGTGATCACATCTTCCAGATTGTTTCTCATCAGCACATAGTCTGCAGCTTCTATTGCAATATCCGTGCCGGCGCCAATCGCCATGCCTACGTCCGCAGCAGCTAACGCCGGAGAGTCATTAATTCCATCTCCCACCATCGCCACTACGCTCCCGTCTTTTTGAAATGAGCGAACAACCTCGGCCTTTCCTGCTGGCATCACCTCTGCTCTCACATCTTCAATTCCAACCTGTCAACAAAAAATGCGTTTTTCTTATACAACTATCTAATATCCAGTACTACCAGGTTAGATTGAGAGTTAGTCAACACAATTTCATCCATTTTTACTCATTTTGTAATAAGGGAAATGGTTTTTGACAAAATTTCATTTGCCTAGATGACCAAATAATCTTGTTCTTAATTAAATGAAATTTCAACATATGGACCTTAAGTCCAAAAGGCTTTGGCATGGAAGATTGTTTTAGAGATTACAATAAAGCTATTCATGAATTGTTCCTTAATTTAATCTTCTAGGCTTAACTAGTCTTTTAGCAGAGCAAAAACTCTAGTGGTTAAAAGTTGCAAATTGAAAATCACACACCGCTTATATTGGAAAAGAGGAAAGAATATAAGCCAAATATTGGACCACATAAGCCACCATTGACCTCCATGTCAACAAAAGGCTCCAAATCAGATCATGAAAGATTAAGATCCTGTTTGGTTACTAGAATGGAATGATTAAAAAAATTAAGACAAAAATGAACTAAATCACCGTTCTTGCCATGATAAATATGATAAACTTCATTAATATATACTATAAATATAGGAATCATCACACCCTTCAAAAATCTCATGAATCATAATTCTCAACTCCATGTACAAATTACCCCTCCTCCTTACAAATGTACTCACCTATTCTCTTTGATCATCTTATTTTTACCTTAATTTTTTTAATTCATTTCATTTTATTATATTTTAATAAGAAAATGTGACCTAATTGTTTGTGTACCGCTCGATGAATAGTATGTGCATGATCAGCCATATATATAGCGAGATATATACAATACAATTGTGACAAGTGTTACAGGTGGAACAATCTAAAATAAACAATGAGTGATGGAAATCACGTGACTTGGGCTGTGTGAATTTTCTTGTCATTATCTAAGTTGGAGCCTTTTGCTGACATGGAGGTCAATGGTGGCTTATGTGGTTCAATACCAAAAAACAATAATTCTAGTTTACCCTTTTTATCCATACATCGATTATTCCTGTCCAAGATTTGAGTCATGCAACTACACGCACTAAAACTTCTATAACCCATGCAAAAAAATATTGGGTATTTTCTGTGCAAGTCTATTTCAGATGTTGTATCCTCACATATTAAGCAAGGCCTCTAAAATCAAGATGATCCATAAGTTATTAGAAGATGCTTTAAAAGCCAACCATAAAGAAAACATAAACACACCTCCTTGGCAACAGCCTGAGCAGTTCTCGAATTGTCTCCGGTAACCATAACAGGACTGACACCCATTTTTCGGAGTCCTTCTATAACCACAGAAGCTTCTCTTTTTAGCGGGTCTGCAACCCCTAAAACGCCTATTAATTCGTCACCATATGCAACAAGTATTCCTGTCTTAGCACCTTCTTCCAGATCCACTACAAAATTTTCCACTTGGGTCGGAATATTTATGCCACTTTCCACCATTAGCTTCCTGTTACCAACCTGTTCAGGGCATTCGTTGTCTGATAAAAAACTAATACGAAGATGTGAAGAATAATTCACAGCTTTTAAGAGATAAAGGATGGACACATTGTACATCAAAAAGGTCTCACCAGAATACGCTTCCCATCTGAAAGGCACTGGATGCCCCTTCCTGGAATAGCAGAGAAGTCTGAGACATCATGAAGCCATCCAGAATTTAACTCCTCGGCAACATCTTGGGTACCAGTGGCTGCAGATGACCCATCAAAGAAATGAAAATGACGTGCATATTCTACAATTGCTTTCCCCAGTGGGTGCTCACTGCTAGCCTGACACAGAAAAACAAAGATAAAAAAATTATTAGTGTCTCTGATTTTTCTCCCAAGTAATATGATGGTAAGTACTAAGAACCAAACATTTAATCACATATAATAAATCGTTTCTGATTTTATTCTTATGACAGAATGCATAAACCCTGTTGGGACAGTTAATCTGCTCATACAACAAAAGACAATGAGAAACAAAGCAAGTGATCAAGAATTGGAAGTCACCTCTGCAGAAGCCACCAATGTAAGAAACTCTCCCCGATCCATTCCTGTGAATACCTTGGCAGTCGTAACAGTGGCTTTTCCCTGAGTTAGAGTTCCTGTTTTATCAAATATTAGGTACTTCACCATCTGAGCCTTTTCCAAGGCATCTCCTCCTTTAATTAAAACTCCATTCTTAGCCCCAACCCCTGTTGCAACCATGACAGCAGTTGGCGTTGCCAAGCCAAGTGCACAGGGACATGCAATCACCACCACAGATATTGCAAACATAAGGGCAAAAACAAAGTGATTTCCATTTTTTGGCAGCCACCCATCAGAGTAAGCTCCTAAAGCTCCAGCAACGTACCTATGAATGGTGAACCCAAAGGCATGAGAGAGTAAATACGGAGAAGCATTGCAATTATAATAAAAATCTAGTTTTATCAATGTGCCAAAACTAGTCACTGTGAACTTACCAAGCCAATAATGTCAATAATGCAAAAGAAACAACTGTAGGGACAAAAATGCTTGCTACCTGCAAACGAAAAGTACTTTAGTTGCATTTAAAACTACATCCATGGGAAATGCAGCCTCTAAATATTATAAAGGTAGAACAATATAGGGTAGCTTTTTTTTTTTTTTGTGACTAGCTAGGAAGAAAGCTTAAATTTCAAATGAGTGGATTCAACAATTCCAATTCTATGAATAATTTCAAATAGAAGAAAGCAAACCACAAACTAACTAGATGCTCACTATTTGCTATTCAGATTATCTTTTGCCAGCTGATGTATACTAAATTAAATAAACTTTGCAAACAAAAAGATATAGTGAAACACATAAATATAAAACAATCATGATTTTCCCAAAACAACCCAGTATAATTATCCTTCCCTCCCTCTGCGAAGCCATGAAAAATATCAAGCCCAAGCAGAGCAAGTTCAAAAATATGAATGAGAATTCTAAATCACAAAGCTTGATGCCTTATCATTATTTTAAAAATTTTAAACTAACGCAATCATGACCTGCTGACAAAAACCAGGCCACGTAGTAGCATGAAATAGTTTACTGCACATTGGAAACACTTCACTAGCTAAGAGAAAAGAAAACGCAACTCTAGCTTCTGAAACAAACAAACAAAAATAGATCTTCAAATTATATAACACTATAACCAATGAAACATGGGTGGATCACCCACTGCAGCATGATCAAATAAAACCATAATAGAATACTTACATAATCAGCAAATTTCTGAATAGGGGCTTTGGACATCTGGGCTGTCTCTACCAGACTAATTATCTGACTCAAAACTGTATCAGCTCCAACTTTGGTGGCTCGAATGTGAAGGACACCATGTAAATTTATAGTACCTCCAATAACAGATGCATTAACTTCCTTTGAAACAGGTGCAGCTTCACCAGTTACCATACTCTCATTGACATGACTTGAGCCCCATGTAATGATGCCATCAGCAGGAATCTTTGCACCAGGAAGAACCTTTAACGTGTCACCAGGCTGAATGAGCAATGAATCTATTTCCCTTTCTTCAACAGGTTTACCACCTACAAAAGAAATAAATTTAAATTATTAATTCTCAACTTCTAATATAAAGTTGCACTGAAATCTAGAAGCCAATCAATAATGTGGACTTCAATCAAGAGCTTGCACCTCAAACATAAGATAATCAAAGCCTGAAGACATCTCACCATTGATATTTCCTTAGGAATACGAAGCACAGAAAAAGGAAAGTTAAATGCACCTTTATCTTTGACTACCAATAAAGCTGTCGCAGGAGCCAGCTCTACTAACTTCTTGATGGCATCTGATGTCTTTCCCTTTGCAAGGCATTCCAAATACTTCCCCAACAATACAAATGTTATGAGCATGGCACTTGTTTCAAAATATGTCGGAGACCAGAATCCAGTAAGGGCACCGTAAAGAAGAGCACAAACAGAATAGACATAAGAAGCTGTAGTTCCCAAAGCAACCAACACATCCATGTTAGTTGAACCATTTCTAAGAGCTCTGCCAGCCGCAATGTAGAAGCGCTTTCCAATTCCAAATTGGATAACAGTAGCTAATGCCCACTTCAGCCAATCATCCATGAGGAAAGGCCCACATCTCCAAAGTAGTAAGGAGTATAACATTGGTATATGAGGACAAACTACACCAATGAGAAAGAGAGGAATCTGATACAGAGGCACAAAGAAAAATTTATTTAAAAAGGTTTCCAATGAATATTCATGAAGCAACCTAGATCTTACTATATGAGAGTCAGGGACTAAGGTACTCACACTTAGAAGCAGACTTGAGATAAAAAGTCGAAACATAGCTGTGATCTCTTCAACATCCTTAGATATCGTTCTTGCATATGGGCTCCTAACATGTAATTTAAACTTCCCGTTGCTTCCCCCTTCAATCCCGTCAACTAAGGATCTAGAATTGAGAATTTCAGGATCAAATAGAACTTCCAGTTCGCATGATATCTGGTCAAAACGAAACTGTTTTAATCCTTTCATGCTGCTGAGAATGCCTTCCAAAACTTGCGCATCAATCAGGCTGTACAAACCAACAATCCCTAAAATTATTTTATCTTGCTCACTACTCTGTACAAATGAAGCTTCAAAGCCAGCATCCTCCATTGAATTGATTATATCATCTTTACTAATTATAGTAGGATCATATTCAACTTCCCCCAAGGAAGTTGCCAAAGCTACAACAGCCCTTTTGACCCCAGTAAGATTCCTCAAAATACCTTCAACAGAATTTACACAAGCTGCACATGTCATACCACCAATTGTGAACTGTCCAACCAGGGTTTGCTGCAGTTTTGGTCCAACTGTACTGGACTCAGGTAATATGTCTGCTTCAAATCCAGCATCTTCAATTGCATTTTTAATGTCTTCGTCCTGGTTTCAGACAAAGTACAGAGTAAAATTTAATATCAACTTAATATAAGCTTCTGACACCCATTCATAAAAATAAGTACTGAAGAAAGGTTATAACTCTACAAAGTACATATAACTGGCTTTTCAGCTAACGTGGATCTCTACATATACCTGATAATGCACCAGGTAAATTTGGAAAGAGGCATGAAGAGAAGGAGAAAGGCGTGGGGTGGGGTCAAACAATTTCTAGTGATTCTCTCCCTTCTTCTCTCATCCTTTCTCCAAATTTACCATTAACATTCAATCAGAATTCAAATTTATTTGCAGCCAGTTTATGCAGGTGCCCGTATATCTGGCATTCAAGAAACATAACCATTTTCTAGTTTTTCCCAGAATTGACTTTTTGGTGAAGGAGACCTGCCTGAGTGGCTTCTGATCATAATATTATGTTTTACTGCGATCAAAGAAGTAGTATACACTGCGAGAAGAGGAGACGTGCATCAGTTTAAAAGCTTGTGATTTGTGGCTGCATAAGAGGGAAAGAGAGGATTCACCAAAGCTCATTCTCGGCATTGAAAAGCGTACAGAAAATTAACATGTCCTTCGGTCCAAAAATAATCATATGCTATAATATTCGTATGGAAAGAAGAGAACGCACACAAAATTAACTAACGAAATACACATATAACTGACTGCAGCCATAATTAGAAAGTAATTATTCGAGTACTACGAATAGAGTTTAAAAGCGTGATACATATTGAAAATGTTAAGGTCGAGTTTATGATCCCTTAAAATGAACACGTTTACCAAAGATATAATCACTGACTACATGAGGTAGACAAATGGAGAGGTCGGAACTTGAAAACAAAAAATGTGCAGCAGAAAGAATAATGATGCATTAAAACATCTTGTCTGTTCAAATATCTGACACAAACCAGCCAAGTGTAATAAGAATATGTTCATATTACATGAAAATGTATGTCATTGATTAACGTAGAAAAAGATGATCACAAGATAGGGGATCTATGATTAGTGTAGAAGCACAGGGAAAGCAAGAATGGCTCAGATTATCAGTAAGCAACATTCAACTACGAAACAACCCAAATCTGAGAGTGAAATCTAGTCTGCAATTAACATTTCAAATCAAACAGTTGATCATTAATTGATGTCAAACAAGGAAATAACAACCTTGACCAGACTTGAGTTGAAAACGACATTAGCCTTATTCTGAAGCAGAGCCACGGAGGCACTGAGCACGCCATCAATGGCCTTGAGAGCTGCTTCGACAGCATTGGAGCAGGCAGCACAGGTCATGCCAGAGACTCTGACCTGAATCCTCTTGATTCCCTCTTCAGATCCATAAGAAGAATCTGTTTTGTCGTAGGAGTCCAGGAGCCGGACATCCTCGAGGTCGCCGAGATCAGCGGAGGAGGAGATTTCACGGCTACCAGCAAGAGAAGTTAACTGTAGGTCTCTGACACGAGGCGACATTGCAAAGGTGGTACCGAACTAAGCCGAGAGAAATGACAATATAAAGGGTGTGCCGATGTGGTAGACAACGAAGAAAAACAGGGAAATTATGGGATTGATTGAAACTGGTTTTTTTTTTTTAAATTAGTATTTTATAAAACATATTTTAAAAATAATAAAAATAATTTTTTTCATTCTTCCTTATCTTTTGAAATAATAATTATAAAATACTTAAAATTTATTTTATTTTTTTATTTTCTTAAATAATATTTTATTTTTTATTTTTTAAAATATTTTTTAAAAATAGGTTACCAATTAAATTTTTTTATTTTAAAAAATAAAAAATTATCCTCAAAACAGATTTTCAAACAAACTTACTTTTCCTTAAAAATTAGAATTTCTTGCAAATTTTTATTTAATGTTAATTTTAATTTTTTGTCAAAATTTGAAAAAGTTTAGAATTTTATAATTTCACATATTCTTCAAAACCAGTCCATCACCCTAATTTTAAATTCTGAAATTAATGATATGATTAACATGTAAGTCTTGCCATGTTTTTTTATAGTGATAAATTTTCGCAAAATCTAGAAAGAAAAGAAGAAACCATAAAAAGAAATTAATTATTAAAAATCACATTATATCTTTAAATATAAACACAATTAAATTATTGGAGTGAAAGTCATCATCTCAAAATGCTATAAAAAATATTCCTTCCATCATAAGTTATAAAATATTTTTAGATAAAATCTCACATATTAATAAATTTTTTTAAATATACTTAACAATTTTATCTTTTCAAAACAAAAATGTAAACTTTCAAAAATAACTATAATTTAATATATTAAAAATAAAAAATAAAAATTAATTATAGAAAGAAAAAAAATGATATTAAAATTGATACATTTAATAAAATTTTAATATACTAAAAGAGTTATATAATTTAAGACGGAAAAATTTCTTTAAAAGTACCCTATAATTTAGAACAAAATTAGTATCAATTAAGAAAAATAAACAGTACTCTTGTTCAAGATTGTTGGAGTTAGCCAACTAATTAATGTAATAATTTATTTTCATATATTTTTTTATAAAAAAATAAAATGATTTAATTATAATTTATTTTAATTTTATGACTTTTTAATATGTAGCCTCGGACCAAAACGAAACAAGTTATATATAATATTTTTTAGAAAAATATTATTTGTATTGATAAAAAAATATAAATAATGGAATAAAATTAATTAAAAATATATTATTTTTTTCCAACTATAAACACTAAATTAAAATTATTAAAATGATGAAGATTTGATTTAATCATAAATCTGAAGACAACAAGGATCAAACCAATAGTGAATTATTTTGGGGCAGGAAATGTAATTCTTCCTTAAAGCAAGCGACAGCGCACACAGGAAAGAAAAGTTAGGTTGTTTCGAGGGGGAATGGGTGAGATATCAGACAGCAATTTTTCAACTAAGTGGAAGGTGCAGGTGGGGCTGGTGGCAGGACAGCTATATGGATTCCCGATATTACCCTTCAACTTATTCTTATTGCCGGATGAGACATTGTACTTCCGTGGCTTTGGGTTTGTACTACGCACCCCGTAGGCAAGCACGCGTCCTCGTGCCGCATCATCAGTTTGACACCGTTTCAAAGCGGAGCGTTGTCTTCGAGGGTGCTTGGACATATTGACAAAATTTGCTTAAATTTAATTAAAAAAATTATACGCAAATAATTGAAAAAATTCCATATATATGAATTTTATATTTACGTTATTAAAATTTTTAATCAAAACATAACGAGTCCATGATAAGAGATATTTTTATTTAAGGATTAAGAAAATAACATATCTTCAGGTGACTTCTAATGAATTTTAAAATATCAATTTAATCTTATGGGATTAAATTGAAAATAAGTTAAAAGTAGAAAATATTAAAATACCCTCAATTTAAATATTTTTTTAAAAAGAAATTACTAGTCACTGTCGCTAGCGATTAGAGCTTTACTGACGACGGCGGCCACTAGACCTCTGTCGCTAAAGCTCCGGTAGCTGAATGAACCACCGTTAGCAATGGATGGAAAATTAATTTTTTCAAAGGTGGCTAAGCTGGGTGTAGAACCCAAGATCCCTTGATTCACCAAAAAATTTTAAACCACCAAACCACTCAACACATTCAAATATGATATATAAAATTTTATATATAATAAACCTCATTTCCAGACCACTTGATTATTACGTTACTTGTTAATTGCATAACTTTATTTGTTAATACCTTAACAAGACTTATTAATTATTTAACTTTCTTTATTAACCCCACAAGTCCTGCAATAGAAATAAATTATTTGTTAATCAAGTAGCTATACTTGGTAATACCTTAACAGGGCTTGTCAATTACTTAACTCTCCTTGTTAAGTCCATGACTCCTACAACAAAGTTACATTACTCGTTAATCATAACTATCATTGTTAATACCTTAATAGGACTTGTTAATTACTTGAATTTACTTGTCAAATTCATGAGTCCTTCAACTAAACTGCATTACTTATTAATCATATAACTTTACTTGTTAATTACGCAACAATACTTGTTAATTGCATAGCTTGACTTGTTAATACCATAACAAGACTTGTTTAACTATTGTTTTGAAAAAACAACCAAATCACTTGTTAATTGTATAACTGTACTTATTAATTTCTCAACAATATTTGTTAATTATCTATTGTCTCTTGTTAAATGAATGTATAATTTACTTAAAAAAATTGAGTTTGTTAGATAACGAAAGTGATGATAGTCGAATCTCCCTTATCAGTATTTTCAACTTCCAAATTTGTTTCTAAAGAGCACCTGAGTAGCTAGGAGAGTTGCTAGGTGCCAAGGTAAACTTCGAGTGTTGCCATGCATATTCCCTCCTATAGCCAAGCTTAGAGGAATATTTACCATTTTTGGCACCTGTCCAAACAGCAATATCATCAAAGGCGTAAACAGGAATATGAATCTATTTAATGCAATCAATAGTTTCTTTGGAGGCTATTTCTTGTACAAGAGTTAGTCTCCAAGCTCCATTTGAAATAAGGTCAGCAACTTTCATATGTTTATCGACATTAACATCTTCCAAATGAGAAGCTCTAAAACTTGGCAAACTTAGAATCCAAGGATCATTCCAAACCTCAATGCCATGTCCAGATCCCACCCTATAACAAGTATCCTTAAGTAGTAGATCTCTCCCAACCAAGATGCTACTCCAAGCTCAAGAAGCTTTAGAACCATGACTAGCTTGCAACAAGGAACAAGATGGGAAGTAAATTGCCTTTAGTACTTTAACCCATTGTTGATAGGGGTTATTTAGCACATGCCACGTCGTCTGAGCAAGCAATGCATCATTAAAGTTCATAAAATCTTGAAAGCCAAGCCCTCCTTAATGTTTAGGAGCACAAAGTTTATCACATGCCTTCCAATGAATACTATTTCTAAAATCAAATTGTCCCTAAAAGAAATTAGCAACAAGGCTATTAAGTTCAGTACAAGTCCACTTGGGGAATTTGAAGCAAGTTATAGGGAAAATAAGGATAGCATTAATTATTGACTTAATCATAAATTCAAGACTAGCAAATGTTAGAAATTTGCTCTTCCAACTATGGACTTTCTTTCCCACTTTATCCCTCACATAAGCAAGCGCTGTCATATTTGATTGACCCCATAAGATCGGGAGTCTAAGGTAAGACCCTGGATTTTCCACTGCCGTAATATGAAGAAAAGAATAAACTTCATCTTTAGTGGCTTGTGGAGTATTAGCAGAAAAAAATAGTTAGGACTTATTATAATTAATTCTTTGACCTGAAGCATTGCAATAAGACAGAAGGAGCTCTTTTATGGTGCTGCAATTTTACCTATCAGCATGAAGAAATAGGATTGTGTCGTCTACAAACAAGCAGTGAGTTAGCATGGGGCAGTCATCCATGATACGGATGCCAACAATGTCACCATTATCCGAGTGTGATTTTAGCATTTGGGATAAAACCTCACTTGCAATTATAAAAGGATATGGAGAGAGCAAATCTCCTTGCCTCACACCTCTATCAGGATGAATTTGTGCAATGGATTTCCTTGAGACCTAAATGTTGAAAATAGGGCACTTAGCACATTTCATAATCCATCTTACCCAAATATCACAAAACCCTATCTTGTATAACAAAGCCTCTATAAAGCCCCATTCTAATCTATCAAATGCTTTGTTCATGCCCATCTTAAAAGCAAAGTAGCAATCACGACCAGTACGTTTCAACTTCATAAAATGAAAAACCTAATGCACCAAAATGATATTATCATGAATGAGATGACTTGGGACAAACGCACGTTGGCTGGGGGACACATAATCACTCAAAATGCCTTTGAAACAATTGACTAGGATTTTAGACAAGACTTTAAATGCAAAATTGCATAGGCTTATAGGCCTAAACTGACTAACCATTTCTGGATGCTCAATCTTAGGAATAAGAACTAGATTTATAGTATTCAGAGATCTAGGATCTTCATTTTTAAACAAGATATTATTAATGAGCATAAAAAGAGAATCATTGACCTCGTCCCAAGAAGCTTGACAAAAATGGCCATTGAAACCGTCTAGTCTCAATGCTTTTGTAGCGCCAAGTTGAAAAGCAGCCTGCTTCATCTCTTCTTTAGTAATAGAGGAAGTCAACCATATATTCTGAGATTTAGAAATACAAGGCTACACATAGCTCAACACCAAAGCAAAGTCACTGGTTTGGCTTTTTGTAATGAGGTTTTAGTAAAAATCAAAGACTAACTGTGCAACTTCCTATTCTATTTCACATCATTGGCCTAATAAATCTCATAGTTTTACATGATTTTGTTCTCTCTTGATTCTAGTAGAATTATGGAAGAAACGAGTATTTAAATTTCCTATTGAGTCCCAGTTAATTCTAGACCATTACCACTAATATGTCTCTTCTTGCTTCCATAGTTGTTCCAGTCTATTGGTGAGATGATGAACCTCGTCTCTTTTTGTTGCAATATAATGCCCTTCTTTTAGATCT